GGCGCCGTCCTCACCTCGCCCACGGGCTCCCGAGGCCCCTCCGACGCCATGGCGCGCGGCTCGGAGGAGGCCCGGCCCGGGAGGCCAGCAGCCGCCCCGTCGGCTGGCGGTCCAGACGCGCGGCGCTCCTGCTCCCCGCTTTTCCGTCTTCGGAGCGGACGCCAGGAAGTGCGTCACAGAAACGCGCCTCGGCCCGCCCCGCGTCCCCCTACTTCCGGCCGGAAGGGCGCGCGCCGGCGGCCATGCCCCGCCTACCGGCGGCGGCCTTCCCCTCGGAAGAGGCGGCGCTCAGCCCCGGGATGCGGTGTGGCCGGTAGCACCCGAAGCGGAGCACATGGACCCCAGGCCCAGGAGGCCAGGAGGCCTTGGTGCAGTCAACCGCCAGGGGCTGGAGCACTGGGCAGTAAACACGAAAGAGAATTCCCAGACTGCCCAGTCCCTTCCAGCTGCTGTAAAGAGCGGTGCGGCTGGGCGGGGGCCGGACAGGGTGGGTCCGCGGGAGCACGGGGCCCGGGAGCTAGGTTAGGTATGCGGGCTGGGCATGTCAGCGTTGCCCCCGCAGGGAGGCCTGGTTCGTTCACTACTAGGTACCACTCAAAGCGGCAAATGCAGGCAGCGCCCAGTCCCCCCCGCCCCCCCAGGTGTTCTCGCGTGGGACCCGCGGGTGGGTTAAACATGCCTAAACACGCCCGACAGGCCTGGCGTGCGGCGGTTACCTTGTCGGGGGCTGCCGCGGGGTCACGGCTCCCTTTATTTAGCAATCCCTGAGCCTCCCTGGCGTGCTAGCCGGGGACTTGTAGGGGATGGGTCCCTGGGGGCAGAAGTAAGTTCTGGGCTGCTGTTCAGCACCACCTGGAGCGTTTCCGGTCCTGTTTCTGTATAAAGACACCCCTTTCTCAGGAGAGGAGCATACAGAGGACCACCAGACTCCGGTGTTTACGGGCAGCTCACTTCAAAGTTTTCCCCAGCACAGCAGATAAGATTGTCTATGTTTGCATTAATTCAGGAATATTTCTTTAGCAGCTAAAAAGACAAATTACAGGCAGACACAAACTATGTATGGAATGGTGTTTTACATTTTAAAATGCTGTGCTATTTTATAGGAAACATTACCCCTACTTGGCACATGGAGTAAAACAGAAACAGGGATAATGGTTTCCCTCAAGGCCATTAGATGTGGTGGTCCTTAGACACAACTGCACAAGTCTCCAGGAACTAAACCAGCAATAGAGTTATGAACTGTCTCCATTAAACTGTTTCTTCATAAGTGAATTAAGTCGTACCCTCCCCAAACCAAGCTATTCTAACCCATTTAATCCTATTTCTTTAAAGTAAATTTATTTTCTCCAGACCAAAATTGTAGAAGTGAAATCATCTAACAACCTCGATAGACACAAGTCAACCTTAAGAAAATAAACCCCCAAAAACTTCAATAATAAATGCAACATACAAACTTTATTTAACAAAAGTAACAGGTAAAGTCAAACAGGCACTTATATTAAGAGAAAAACCGACTAGAAGAAATTTTATCTTAAACACCTTATAGTAACCTATTTGCAGTTGCATTTGACTGAGCTCTGTTGCTGTGAAGAATACAGCTCATGCACAGGTACGGATCAACAGTCTGTACATTCTTCAAGTATTCACTGAATACTACCTTATATACACATATACATTAAATGTGAAAAAGATTTAATTGACGATCCCCAGATAGACTTCATTTTTGTTGCTCTTTTGGAAGAGGTCGTCTAAAGAGAAGAATATGTGGTTCTGTGGAAACAAAATATTTTATATAATTTTAATACAATATGGTTAACTTACATTCATTCAACCAAAATTCCAAATTCTCAATTAAACCAAAATAAATCTATGATCAACTGTCATTTATAGAAATATCTGAAATAAATTCTGCTTCAAAAGTCACTGTCAACTATAAACAGAACAAAACCGCCTGATGATGACATTCCCCACAGTGTGCCAGTGTTTTATTTAGTTTCACCTACCCTGGAAAAAGAGATGCTAAGTAGAGAAGCCACTTCGGGGAGAATGGTTTCTACCTTTAGAATCTCAATTCCAATGAAAAGGAAAGACACCTAACACCAAATTCAAAAACCACCAGCCCGTAAAAAGTGCAGATCCCGGGGGCCCATTCCCAAAGATTGTTTCATTAGGTGGGAGCCCAGGATTCTAGAGTTAAGTTCCTCATGTGCTCTGGTATTAGCTGGAGAAAGAGCTTTTGAACCCCAATACAATTAAATGCCCCCAATCCCAAGAAAGTTTTAAGTCAGTTTCCTTTGCTATTGCTGCTTTTCTTTAACAAGAGCAGAAAACAAGCTCTAGTTCCACCTAATTCGGTTTCTATAGCATGCCCTCAAATTTTGCTCAAAGCATTATAAATTGTTTAAGTTTGATTTATTTACTGATAACGCAAAAGCAGAATTTAACCCCACGAGTTTAGTTTACCATTTCGTATCTGGGAAACTCCGGTAAAATCCACACAATAATACAACCACTCATAACAACATAACACAACAAGGTTCACTCACTAGGTTACCTTATTTCACCTTAATGTGGTAGATCCCAATTATCTTTTAATAGAATACTAAAGGAAAAGACAAATCACTTCAAATTGCATTAACTTCTACGCTAAGAACTTAAGGACACTTAAGATGTTTTAAAATGAGTTCTCAGTTTTCAGAGACAGGACATCAGAGTTACACTTACAGCAAAATATTTTATTAATAATGACACGTTTTAAAATAAAATGGAATTGACTTTTTTAACTCCTTACCTTTCTGCAGGTAGAATAATGCATTACTTTCACTCATGTGGTATTATTTACTACAAAACTGGAATTCTTCCTAGGGAAGAAAGGAATCAGCCATCCAAGAATAGTCAAACTTACCAGGGTTACTTTGGGAATACCACTGAATGTCAATATTACTTAACAATTTTCAACAACCACAACCACTACTACTTTTTATTTCAGTTGATGCTTTCCTAAACGGAAACACCTACCTGGCTCATGAATCATGTAATGAACCCAGCCTAGACTCTGTTGGACACCAAGTCTCCTCCACTCCTCTTCAGACATCAGATGGGTTTTCGGGACTTGTTTGGAAAGTTCTCTGGGTAACATGACATGCCTGTTAAGAGATATAGCCGAGTATTAACAAATATACCTTTCCTACAATTATGATCACTTTATAAATGCATTTTTAGGATACTTAATACATGAGTTCAAAATAATCAAAGATCTTTAAAGCAACTCTTGTTACATTACTGTTGGCATCAATCTTGAGGGCTGTCTACTACCTTTAATTCTGATTTTTGATGGCCTAATGTTCAAAACAGGAAGAATATACAGTCCAAAAGCAGAAAGCATTTTGTTTAGGATTTGCCTTTTCTTCTCTAAGAGACTGCTTGCTGTTTCAATGTTCTTCAGGAATAGAATCCCCAAACCCAAGTCGGGCTCATGGTTATCCAAAACATCCCAGCCTCCCATACAGCTATCTCTGGTGACTTAAATCCTGGTCAATAAGATATAAGCAAAGAATATGCAACTTATGGAAACGGTCTTCAAAAGGAAAGAACATGCCCAACTCTTTTCCTTGTTCTTCCCTAATGGGTTATGAAGCAGACTAATATGCTCAGGGAGCCAGAGAAGCCATCTAAGACCACAGAAGCGTAAATTGAGGATGGTTCCTGATTGTAAAACTGACATCTCAGACCCATGTAGACTTTTACCTAATAGGAAAAAATAATTTGTTACAGTTAATTTGTGGTTTCCCATTACTAAACATTATAGATCTGTAGTAGATGAGTCCTTGCATACTCTACAAGTTGCTTTGTTCAAATAAAAAGCAAAAAACAAACCCAAGTCCCACGTATATATGTGTACCTGGCGACCTAGCACAAAGACGTTCAGTTTTCCAGTAAGTTACTGACTTCTATCCATAAATAACTATCTTCTATTCTTTGGATATGACCTATATCCAAAATTGTATTAAGTTTTTTTTTAAGAAGACATGCAATACTCCTTCAATGTCAAAACATCAATAACGTGTACAATTGTAGCTTTGTAAAAATTCTTAAAGACAAGTCTGCACCCCTCTTAACAGCAGTAAAAAGCTCTTTATAAATCACAATTCCCAGACCCATTTTTACCATTTCCAGTAGCAGTAAAGTTATACAGTCATCGACAACCACTAAGCACATTTTTTGACCAGTATAAAACATCTATCTACCTGAGAGTCAGTTGGCTATGGATATGAGGAAGGTGCAATCTGGTTAGTCACACTTTCTGGCACAAAAGAAAACTGAACCCATAACCCATATAAGCACTAAACAGTCACCAACTTAAACTCTATAGTGTGTGGCTGGGGAATTAAATACCCATCTCGAATTACTTACACAAAAAAAGTGAACCTTAGAACAACTGTATCATGTTGCTAGATCTGCCATGAGGCCACCAAATGAAATTATGCTTACTATTTTTACTAATTCCAGTGAACTACAGTTGACCCTTGAACAACACGGGGTTTGGGGCGCTGACACCCTGCGCGGACGAAAACCCACATATAACATGATTCCCCCAAAACTCACTGAGAGCCAACTTTTGACCCAAAGCCTTACTGATGACATAAACAGCCAATTAACATGCATTTCGTATGGTATCTTGAAATGCTGCTCTAACGTCTACATTTAAGGCTCTGCAAATAATCTCACGTCTACCTTCTACGTCAATTACCCATCAGCCCCAAAGAGCACCGGAACGCTAGCTAGCTGTTTGGACTCACATTCTGTACAACCCTACGAACGCACCCATGTGTCACTCGGAAGGCACAGCCCCTCCCTGCCCGCTAATCATGGAAACAGGCTCACCTTCATCGAGGTTTGACCACAAAGGAGAAGTTTTCGACAGCTCCAAACTCACGTAACTCCACCTCTACTTAACGTCAGGGAGACCGTTTCCTAACTACAGGTCAGGAAAGTATTTCCCAATCCAACGTTTGTTTCTCCGACGGGCTTGCTGGGGGGGCGGGGAGGGGCCGCGGGTGGGAGGGGAGGCCAATGAAGCCGGGAGCTCCTCAGGTAACACGAGGTACCTTCCAGAGGGCGGACGGCTCATTGTGGAGAGAACCCTGAAAAAGCTGATCTCCGGCTTTTTTTTTAGGAGCTTAAATCCGCACAGCCCTCTAATAACTTGATCCGGGTAGCATTCAACAGGCCTAAACCTGCTTGTATTTACAAAAGGACCCACGCATCAGTAAAACACAAGCACAAATCGAACGTGCAAGTGCACACTTCAGGAAGAGGCTGCCCGAATCGCAGCTCAAGTCCGGCTCGCACAAGCACTAGGCCGGAACCCGCACCTCCGCGGGGCCGCGACGCGGGAGCGCGGGGTTACCGCCCCGACTCCGGCTACTCGCCCGCCAAGCCCCGCGGCGCGCACGCCCCCACCGCCCCGACGCACCGCCACACAAAAGCCAAGCC